CACCTTCAGGGCCATGGGCTTGCGGAGGACCGTGCCCGGCCGCTGACGCCCAGACGCGACGCCGGGGGGGATCCTGGGAAGACAGGGGGGCAGGTGGCGGGCTCTGATTGGTGGAGAGCAGCTCCGCCCCAGGCGGTGGCGGATGGCGCGAGGACGGTGATGTCTGGTGTCTGGACTGGGTGGGGGTTAACGTCTTTCTGCCTCCCACACCCTCCCCTACGGGAGCTGACTCGGGGGGGAGGTGGTGCTCGAACTGCTCGCTCGCTTGTTCCCCCAAAATGAACGGCGCCCCCCAACGTCCCAATAAAAGGGGTGCCGGTCCGGCGCTTCGGACCTGACGCCCGACTCGCGTGCTCTTCCTGTCCCCTTGCTGCTGTGCCGCTGGGCGGCGGGAGGCTGGGGAGCACGCTCCTGTCCCAGCGGGAGCCGGAGGGGGGCGCATCTTCGCCCTGGACCGAGAGCTGGGGAGGAGGGAGGGTCGCTCAGGCAACCTGGAGGGGGCGCTGTCCCTGCCCCCTGCCCCCCGCCAGCCCACCTCGGGGGTGGAACTGCACAGCCCCGCGCTCCAGGTGGGCGCGGAGGCGGAGGCCGGCGGTTCAGCCCGCGCCTGCAGGTCCATCGGGATCCACTGGGATCGGCTTCGACAGCGCGGCCCGGGGGGGGGCTCGGTTCCGAGACGTCGGGTCGCTGCGTCCGGCTTCAGAGATGATTCTGGCCGTTCCGCCGGTGCCAAGTGGGTCGCTCAGCCGCGGCGGGGTCAGACCGGCGGTGCTCAGCGAGGACCGGGCTTTCCCAGGACACCCTGCCGTTTCCGGGCGTGAAGGCGCTCGAAGCGTCTCTCCGGGCCGTGCAGTTCCGCCTTCCTGCCGCTAGGCGGAGCCCTCTGCCCGCAGTCGGTGTCCAGCTCGGAAGCTCCTGCCTGTATTGTCCCAGATGGGGGAATTTGCTTTGCAGGAAGGTGAAACCTGGCTTTTAATAGACAGTACAAAATAATCTGAATGAATTAACGAATAAAAAAAAAGAAACAGCATGCATTCAATGGAAAACAAACCAGCAGCTTTGAATTATTAGACAAAGTTTGCATGATGAAAAAAAATAAAGTATCGGTTGTCCAGATTAAGTTGGCTAATAGTCTGGGGAATAAAGGATATCTTAGTTTTATGGCACTTGAATGTGGGTGTTGTGGTTGAAGTGGACACTCAGACGGTGGGTGATTATATTGGCTTGTTTGGGGTAGATGTCTGCCTGCCCCGTACCCCGGTAGCCTGGGTCAGAAACATTTCCACCCCGCTGTTGCCGTTCTCTCCCTGCCTTGCATGTGTACATTTTATTTTGTGATCCATTACAAACGGATCTTGGGTTCGAATCCAGCCCTGTCTGGGTGGAGCCTGCACGTTCTCCCCGCCGTTCGTCTCTAAAGGTAAATAATGCCACTGCACCCTGAAGTGCGGTCACACGTCGTGTCCGACAAGGTTACTGTTGTATTACAATCTGCAGCAGGTGCGGCTGACCGGGCTAGTGAACGGGATGTCTGGAATAAACGGTGAGATGACCGATACCTGTGCTGTGATTTTCCTCTGTCTCCTCTCTTAGCTCTCTGTCCTTTACAGCTCCTCCTCTCTCTGAAGACGAGGGAAGCACAGCCAAATACAGATGGGTTATCGAAACATATATAAAATAAATACACACGATATGTAAACATACCATCTGAGTGACTATGCAGATTCTGCATACAACACGTGCAGCTATAAGCACGTTTTTCACATATTTGAAGCTGACGATAAAAATATACAGTACATTTGGGTACTTTCTCAACAGCTGAACTGCAACATTGGCGATGACGCCTGTCTGCTTCCTTCCAATAACTCGGGAGTGGACCGAGCGAGGCGTCTCCACACCTCTGCTGTCTCACGCCCGCTGCCAAAAGTTGGAATCAAAACCTCCTCGCTTCCCATTGGTCGGCACCGTAGCGAACCCGTTGCCGCAGCGCCAGCTGATTGGTGCAAAGGCCAGGCTGCCGAAATGGTCCTGCGCTCTGATTGGACGGCGCCAGGCGTCGGTCACAGGAAAAACTAAAGAAAAAAAAGTTGGTCGCGGGGGCGCAGGCGAAGGAGCGGGATTGGCCCGTCGGCGACGTCAGTCGACCCGGTTTCTGCCCGCTGATTGGATGACCTCGGCCGCGGAGGCGGGGGGGTGGACGGGAAGGGGGAGGGATTTCCGGTCTAAGTTCAACATTGTAAATCGGAAGCTAGTTTTGATAGTGGGTAGGGGTGGGGGATGAGACAACCCTAGACGAAAATACTGCTTTATAAACATTAATTCTCTGAACAGCTGGGCACCCAGAATAAGGCAACTTTCGGTAACACTATCCCGCCGGCTGGAAGCCCGTGG